TTTTTTTTTTGTGTGTGCCAGAGTTTAAAAATGTATGAACTTGTTAAGTAATTTATCTTTTTCAAATCCACATTTTGCTCAAAATGTCTAGCTTTGGCAAACAGCAATTGGAGACAATTTATAAAATCCTTTTACAATACTTTTTTAATGTAAAAATGATCATACAAAAACTTTTTTTTATTTGTCTTCCTCAGTTAAAAAATAAAAACAGATATAGAGAAGAGCTACAGAGGAACAATTAACAAAACTGTTATCGATTTCATTTGACACACTTGTTTGGTAGTAGCCTACTGTTAAATCACTGCTAATGTTTCCCCCTTAGTGTTTCTAAAATGATCTAACTCTTTAAAAACAATCCAAACTCTTTGAACGTCTGGTCTCGGAATGAATCGTATAAATAAGTCAGCCCAGATCATTTTAGTCGATTGAGAGTATTCCCATGGATTGCTGGCTTCCCTTCAAACTGGGTCTCATGGTCCGAGAAGCTCAGCTCCTCGTTAGTATAGTGGTGAGTATCCCCGCCTGTCACGCGGGAGACCGGGGTTCAATTCCCCGACGGGGAGAGACATACCTTTTTAAAGGCACAGAGTGGAGAAGAAGCTGTAGAACCAGCCTGACATGACTCAGTGGATTGTCAGGGGGAAGCAGCAATACTGCTAAAATGTAAAGCACTTCATACAGTTGTTGTTTTTTTTACTTTTAGAATCTCATGGTCCTGATGCGTGAGGCTAAAAGCTTCTACTCTGCACAACCGTACAGATGTATTGATCTTGACTGTAAGACAGGCCTCGTATTTTATATTTGTTGGTGTTTCCTCAACCTGCCACAGAAAGAACTGGACCTGGATCAGAGTTTCTCTGGGCCAAAAGCATTAACCTAAGACTTGTCACAAACTGACTGGCTATAAATAGACCACAAGTTGACCTTAGTGTGTCACACCCATGTCTTGAATGGCTTGAGAGATATTTAATTTACAGGCCTCTTACTCACAAACTGAAAGATCAGTCCTTAAGTTTCTTTGCTGATAGCTGAGCACAGCTGCTTTTAATACAGATAACATTTAATGGCTCTCAGATTGCATAGACTGCTTTAATATGTAGACTGGCAGTGGAGAGTAAGGAAAGTGTAGAATCTGGAGACAAATACTGAAGCCTGTAGATTGCAATTTATCAATGTCAGCAGTGCTATTCTGATCTTTTGCACTCATCGCCACTGCACTATTGTCTTATTTAGTCATGTCCATTTAGTCTTTGTTTATTTGATTGTTAATATTTAATTTGATATTTCTGTACATGGAGAGCACAGTTCATCAAATTCCTTGTATGTGTGAGCACATCTGGCCAATAAAGCTGATTCTGAGCTGAAACAAGCTGCTCTGTTTTTGGAGAATTTCCAGTAAAGGAGGTGCATAGGCAATCTTGTTCATTGTCTTGAGAGTAATCATTTGTCTAAAAAGATTTTTTTTCCTTTAAAGCTGTTGCCAAGGTAACATGACTTTTTTTCTATATCTCATGTCATTAGATTTTTTTCCTGGTTATCAAATAGTCCCAAATTAACACTGAAGTCTGACCTTCAATGGCAAAGAAGACCTTCAGCACAAAGATTGATCATTTTATATTGTTATTTTTAACTGAAACTGCAGCCGCATGGTACATGTCAGAATATTGATAAACTAAATGCTACAGAAAAATCTTTTTTTTCATTTTTCGATAGCTTAAGTTCTTGGTGTGTGATACGCTTGTTAAAGGAGGATCAGATTTTTCATCAATACACAACCCTGATACCCTATACAACTAACCCTGTTAAAACATTTACATGCACAGAACAAAATCATAGACCTTATGAATCATGGACATAGTCTCAGGTGCATTCACACCTAAGCTGTTGATAAAATTGTCTTTACATTTTTTCCGTGTGTGATGTTTGTTCCAGTGCATGTCCGAGGAGAGGTACCGTCCGCTCACATCGAGACTGCTGGTTGGTCGTCCCAAATGGAAGTTACTGTTTGATGAGATTGCAAAGACTAACAAGCAGTGAGTAAAGCGAACGTTTTAACCAATCCACTATGACCCAAGTTTTATATTAACTGTTGACATCCTGCTCACTCTGCCTCTCTCTCCCTCTGGTTTCAGTAAGAAAGTCGGGGTTTTCTGCTGTGGACCTAAAGGCATCTCCAGCACTCTCCACAGACTGTGTAACTCAGCCCGATCCTCTGGAACCACCTTTGAATTCAACAAGGAGTCCTTCAGCTGAACAATCATCGATAGATGGACGCATTTTCAGACATTTTTGTGGCAAATCTTCTACATTTGAAGTCAACCTTGGTTACTTGAAAGTTTTTTATTTACCAACTTGATATAAGTAGTGCCAACAGGCCAAAAGATTTTGTAAACACTGTATTTTTATTCCTATATATCCCTACTCATGATCCAGAAAGGCTCAGCAGGACACTTCAGCATTAGGGCCTTTTCCTCTCCTCAGACCAGCCTGACCTCCACCTGAGGGCGCTAGAAGCTACACCTGAAGCATCTGATCAAACCAACTCTGAGAAAAACCAAAGAGACCAGCTCAATGGTTTGATGTGCCACTCTGCTTCAGATTTAATCCTTTCTGTGATACACATCAGTGTGGAGCGAATTCGTTTTTCTCGCATTGGAGTCCAATATGAGATAAAAAAACCAACAACATAACCTGCAATTCCATGATGACAAACATGACAAGATGTCCCACAGGAGGTAATTCATCCCTTAGTGGATCAGAGCTGCAACAGCATTCAAGGATCTGACAAACTGTTTTCTAGCCCAAACTCTAAAGAAACACCTAACTGGTACCAAACATCAACGCTCTACACTAAAACGTTTCGGCTATAGAGGGCGCCACATATTATCATTTCATAGTTAAGTTTTTGTCTCACTAGCTTTCCAAATCAATTGGTATTAGGTACAATATGAGACACTTCCAAGTCATTTTAACTGAGATAAAACTCATGTTTTCTTCACATCCAGAAACTACAGCTCCCACACTGTAGGTCATGATGGAAGAGTGCTGTCACAACCCCACTGGAGATTTTGCCTTTTAATGCTCAATTAAAACCATTATTTCACAATCGTGTTTGAACTTATAGTTACAAGGAAACCATACACAGTTTGAGAAAACTGTCAAACCAAAATGGACTTATAATGGACACTTCTTTGTTTTTATGTTTTTAATGTTGCTGTTCATGCTCATGCACAGTATGTTGATTTAATATCTGTTTCGATACAAAGCAAACCACTACACCTCATGCCAGTATATTTGAGTTTATTACAATTTATTTATATTGTTAAACGTTGTTTTATATTCTGTGAAAACCTTCTGCAGGGCTTAGGCAATTTCTAGTGTCATTTTCCTTTTTTTATATCTTCAGAAAGTAAAGTTTCTGATTTAAAAGAAAAACTTGGATATGGTGGAATTTCAACCAATAGCGTTACATTTGAAATGTTATTTTTAATACTTAAATGTTGAATGGTGTGCTATTATTTCAGAAAGCAACGTTCTGCAAACACTGTAAAATAATACTTTTATGACTGAAACACATGTTTTCTCCCAAAATGTAATCAGCTACAATTTATTTCCTTTTTAAAATTTTAAATGTATTTAAACTTTGAACTGTATGTCTATTTTCAGGATCGTCCTCTTTTTTTGAAGAACAAGACAAAGCCTGAAATAAAACACATTTTCTATTATTTTTGAATACTTTGACATAGTCAGGGAGACAATGTGTATTTTTCACCCATTATGCATTATTATTATGACATTATGCATAGAGTTATAAGGATATTTGAAAGAAACAGTGTTATTTTGACATTAGCTTGACATCTTGTAGCATTATTATCTCATGAAGCAGCCATAAATATATTAGCAGATGCTATTCAATATTACAAAACCCTGTTAGTGTAGGCTGTGGCTAACAAATTCATGACCAAACATATTCAATATATTATTCCCAACATGACCAACGGGCACACACAAAAAATCACACTGAGGGAATCTGTTTTGATCTTTTTTTAATGTGTTATGTACCAACTTATGATTCATCCTTGTCTTCATCATATTGCCTACATTATACACACTGTGTACCGCACACTGTTGTTCTTTAGCACCGGTGATATTTCACAAAAGAGTGTTGAAGTGATGTCACTTCAGCTTAATAGAGCAGGGTTTGAAGTAAATCGTAACTTGTTTTAAATTGAAGAAAATCTGGAAATTTTCTGACCTATAGAAAGTTACACTGGAGATTTACATGACCATTCTACAGACACATATCTACAATGCAGTTTGGTTCATAGCTACTTTTAAAATGACAAAATGCATTCATCATCATCATTAATTATCTTCAATTGTATTCTAAAACTGATTTAGTAACTGTGTAGGTGCAAAGAACCTGACTTTTACACCCTAAGATGACACTAAATCTAAATGATCTTAGATACTTCCCTCCATCTCACTTTTCAGATGAATTTTATTTGGTTCTCTCACATACAGCATCCACATTTAATATGTGAATTCTAAATAGAATCATAGATAAGCAGAGCTCCATTCAATGGAAAGAAAAATGAATTTTGCTTTGCAGTTTGAATCTGTGTTTCAGGCTGGAAGGGAAAAAAGTTGCCAAGGAGCTCAGAATTCATTATTTGATGACAAGACAACAACATCGTGCACATAGATGTACTCCAGGTAAGTGCTTTAACCTGACACAAGTCACAGTTTGAGTATACATGAGAAAATGTTCTGTGTTATTTAGACATCCTACATTTTTACGTCCTATTACACCTAATGGTTCTAACGTCTTTATATACGTATCCTAAATATACTATCTAGTTTTAATTTAGAGACTTTATCAGGGAGATATATCAAATATACTTCCCTATCTATCTTCACATTTGGATAAATTAGTTAATACTGTATTTGTTAAGTGAAATCATTATGAAACAAAGTCTTTCGCTGGGATCCATCTCATTCATTCTCCACGTATATAACGAGTGTCCCTAATGGTTTGTGCATTCTCATGCAGCAGTTGCTGTAGGCTCAGTATCTGTGTGTTTTTTTACAGAGTATTCTGATATGAAGCTGATCCATCATCTGAGCTGCTGTGCAGGAGCGGCTGTCTCTCTCCGAAGCTCGGCACCCTCTTCCTCCTCTGGTTTCGTTTCCATTTCCTTCGTACGACAACAATAATTCCAGCAATGATTGCTGCAATCAGTGCTCCGAGCATCCCGGCTCCCAGCAGCCACTGCCAGATGCGCTGCGCCTGCTCAAGGTATGGTGTTATGAACTCTTGAAGGAATCTCTGCCCTGTAGTGAAGAAACAAAAGGCGAGACAGTTTTGCTATGCATGACATTTTACGACATGTTCATTTACTGAACATGAACAGTGTTTTGTACATACCAGGGTCCAACAGGTAGGTATACTCAAATCCTAGAACCTTGTTGGACAGAAAGTAGTCTCCGTTTCTGTAGAGAGGCAGGAAGGGCACCATGTAGTAACCGTCGTTATGGCCAATAGGGGCATTGGCAGTGGGGTAAATGGTCCGGGGAGGCTGGTGGGTCCTGAGCCAGCGCTCAAAGATGCTGGAGAAGAGAAGGAGCACAAAAAAATAGAGAAGGAAAAATACATTTTCATGTCTAAATTTCCGTAACAAACATCTTTATTTAAAGCAGTTTCATTTTATTTATTTAAAAATAGGGACAGTAAACATTAATGGACATAAACATGTAAATATGCCAGACACACAAATACATTTCTGACTTTCTGAAAAGCACCATATCGTTTAGATCTCATCTGGTGGCGTCAGCAGAGTGCTCATATAGTGAGTTGAGCTGAGTGGAGAGTTGTCGGAATTTCGTAGGCATGCATTCGTCCTATACATCATACTTAGAGAAGTTTGTGTGTTTCATCACCGTTGTACCTGTCAATAAAAGCGTGATGCAGCAGGAATATGGGGTCATTGGCTGACCCCTGAACTGAGGACATGGTGCCGTTCATAAAGAGGTGCAGGGCGTTGTGCATTGTGCTCTGACCCGGCACTGCCATACCGGTCTCTGGACTGGCAAAACCTGCAGTAGGGTATGAAAAGAGAAAGAAAATAACACATGAAAGAGGATTGAGGGACATAAGGGCTTTAAATACATTAACACTAAATGTGCGCACAGACTGCCTCAATATACTCAAAATGAAGCAAAAGCATTTACTAGCTTAGACCAAAGATTAATGTTTGTAAGATAAAGCATTTCTAGTTTTGGTGCTCCTTTTTAGTGTGTGTGCTCCTTTGTGTGAGTGGGTTAGTGTGTGTCTGTGTATGGTGTATGATTCCTACCCTCCAGGGCATTTCTAAAGCTCATATTGGCGAAACGGTCCATGGGTCCCGTCTCGTACTGTTGGAGGCCCACAGTGAAGTCCACGTCACCTGATGTCGGGAGACGGGATACACGGGAAGGATCGTGATTACCAGGGTTGCGCAACAGTGGACCCTCCCCAGAAGCATTGCACAGGACCTCTCGGTTGTTGTAATCTTCTGGCTGAGTGCAAATCACCTACACACAGACACACAGACACACACACACTGAGTGAGCTACATTTACAGTGGTTAACATAGATGTTCATCGACTCCATCCATCTATTTGGGTTTAATGATCGGGACCTTTCATAGGAACATTTCTTGCAACATTGAAACGTAGGCAATACGCTATTCTGTTGTTTACATAATTTGTCATAAACTTCAGTCTGCATAACTTGTAGTTAGTGATGACAAATGGAAACCAAGTAGATAGTGAGTGCTGGTTTAAGTTCAAACTACAGAATACTACAAAATGTGTGATAACTTTCACTATTTTGCTTAGAATTAAGAAGCTGTCTTTGGTAAAATTGGATTTTTAATCAACTGGATTGACACTTAACAACACTTGAGAGTGAATTCAGATATAACATGTTTTGCTTTTGAAGGGAAAATAAACCATCCAATGTTTTCCAGTTGTACGAAATACATTTCTCTCTAAAACACAAGTTAGATCTCCTAATGTTCCACACACACTCAAATTTATGCTTTAACTCACATCAGCAAATGTTTCTTACCTTCCATGAGGAGAAGACTGAAGCAGGGCTGATCTGGTTGGGATTAAAAGAGCTGCGTGCACCCATCAGAGAATCGGTGCATACCTCACAGGTCTTGGCGTCCCTCCAGTCCCAGTATGGAAGGGTGAAGTTAAAATCTCCTGTGAGCTTCCGAATCTCGCTCTCCCACATGAGCAGGAAAACTCTGTGCCAGGGTAGAAATGCTGCAGATTCGTGGGCAAAGTCAATGTCTGCCCAAACGTTGCCCGGCCCTCCTAGGAGGGCATCCCGGGACACATAGTAGTGCATCCAAACAAATAGGTCATAGGTATTGATGTTGGCGAACAGGGGGTTCTCTCCATTTTCACCCATCTCTTTTCTTGTTCCTGTGGTGATGACAAACTCTCTGCTGACGGTGTTCTTGGCCAAATTCAGATAAGAAATAAATTTCTGTTGCTCAGCAGTCGACATGGTCAGGATGTTCCTGCGCACTGACACCCTGTACTCAGCACAGTTTGAACCCCAGTAACCAAACCTGCATTCACCACAATTATAACCTCCATAGTTTCCAGCACAACGACATGTCCTGTTGAAGAAAGCTAAAGGCCAGCGCTCTCTGTCATCAACCCCCCTGTGCGGGTACTGGGGCCCATGCGGCTCTTCAGAGACCACCACATTAGCACAAAACCCACGGCCTGACAGGGCACCACAGGCTGAGCCGTCACCCTCCCACACCGGGCAACACACTTTGGTCCGTAGGCCCTCTGAGGTGGCACATGCGCGAGGAAATTGGCAGAAACAGGTCCCAATGAGCTGTAGCAAAACTAAAGATACACATAGTATCCTCATAATGAAAAGTGAGAGCAAGTCAAACCTCAAGCACAGCAGAAAGGTAGAGTCCTCCTGAAAAACTGAACACAACACTCACAAACTGTGCAGATGAAGAGGATCTACTCAAAAAGCAGCAGCACAGAGGAGAAGAGTCACCTCTCTCTAGTGGAGAAGTGGAGAGTTCTTGTTTCAACCAAATCTGATAAAAGAAAAAGCATCTAAAGTTGAATAAAAAAGTAAAAACATCTACAAACTCCTCTGGCACTGAATTTAAAAGAAGGAACTGATGATTTTTGAGACAGGCTAATCCTCTATTCTATCATCTAAGTCACTAGAAAACCTCCTTCCAACTCTTTCTTACACCCAGCCAACAGTCTCTAGTTCTCCCCCTACTCATTGAGGCATTTTGGGGGCCGTCCTCTACCCAAGTGTGTGATCTCATTGTGATTTCACACACTTAGTAAGGCACACACACACCCACATCCACATAGAACAAGCATGTGCGTTCACGAACCATCACATGCTCAGGATAATATTCCTGATTCCTCTTTCATTTTGTCTTGAGACCAGCTGACCTCTGCTCCACTATACCTCGGGCAGAAATGGGGTTGTGTTAGCTTGTGTATGTATATTTGCACACGACCCCCTCCTCTTGGCCTGTCTGGAATTTCTGCACGATCATGTGTGAAGTTGATAGGCTGTTGAAACAGAAAAAAAAAGTGATAGACAAAAAAGAAATTGAAGATAAGGATGTGGAAAATTGTTATTACATAGTTAATTAAGAGAACGTGGTGTGCCACAGGCCTGAGGTTTATCTCAGTTTGTCCTTGGCTAAAGGAGTGCTGACTTGTGTTATTTTATTGAATTCTTTATTAAAAAGCTTTTTGTTTGTTTTTGTTTTAAGAGAAACCTTGAAAGACATTTTTTTTCTAGCTTTGTTGTTAATTTCCATTTAAGATTGCTAATATGTGTGTATAGGGACACTAGGCTGAAATCTTGAGGGACGATTAGAATACAGAAATGTAGTTTTGTTGTATTTAAATAAAGCTAATGTTTGACAATTTAAATGTATTAAAGATATTTAATACGAGAGCAGCATAAAAAGTCTGCATAACAATTTAAAGTAGCAGAGAAAATATTATTAGTGTTTATGGTGAAAAAAAGAGGACTAAGAATAGACCCTTGTGGGACATCTAATAAAATTAAGATCACTTAATTTTAAACAATGTTAAAATACAGAGATTTTTAAAGAGAAATAACCATAAAACCATTAAATGTGCTGTTCCTCAAGTCTTCACAAGGATTGCGCCTCTAAAAAAATATCATGACCCGAGAATGAAAAGTCTTAGCTCTGTAAAAAAGTGCATCACAGTGCTGATGATTGTCCAAGGCATTAACATAATCTAAGGGAAAAAACATTTTGAAAAGCACAATACATACAGATCTTAGATTATTAGTCACACTGGGCCATGGATTAAAGAGTTCCAAAGATCAAAGATGCTATTTGTGCTGGCTAATAGGGTAAATTCTGACATGGACGAGAAAGGGCAGAGCTGCAGTAAACATTTTTAAATATATAACCATAAACATTTTCTTAAGGCTATTTGCGGATAACAAAGCTAAAAAAACAAGTTGCAGAGGGTTAATATCAGTCTGAGCACAGTTTAAACACAAACAAAGTAGTCAAAACACTTGATAAAAAGGTTAAGCTTTCTTGGTTATATCTTGATGTTAAAGCTGCAAATTACAGCATTTTGTGTTGCAGGTAACCTTTAAAGTAACTGAACAGGCGCGCTCAACCAAAAATGTTTGGTAATATGTATAAAACATGTGTTCAATTGTTTAAAAATGATATTCCCTTTGATGAAAGTAATGATGCCATTATAGATATTTACTTGAAAAGGAGGCGCCTCTGCCATATATCCAACAAGTTAGAGTAGGTCATCATTATAGCCTTGATAGCCTGATTTTTGAGTCCATATGTTGTGCATGCTAACGTCAGTTTGACTCTCATTTAATGACACTTTGAAATTAAGTAATGCCCCCTGATTCTATTATGGAGACATAAATTAAGGATAACTTAAACATCAGCAACATATCATTGGTATTGCTGCTATCAGTCTGTATAATTTAAGCTTTGTTTCTGTATAAATATGTCTGTCCCCTGTCTGCTGTCTTCCTTCTTGGCCTAGCTGTCTGAGATAGCAGCTAACCAATAATTTTGATTCTGCTTGAGGCTTCATGCCTCTCTTGCCAAGTGCTCGCTCAGTGAAGAATTAATGTCTGGTCTCTGTAATTCTCATCACAGAATATTGTCTAGACATTCTCTCTATGGGGCTGATAATTTAAATAATTGTGTTGATTGGTTGATGGATTTTTATCTCTGAAATAGGCTACTACTCTTTCAACAAGATTTTCATGAGTGACTGATGGATAGCAAGCTACTAACTTAGAAACTGTGAAGTTGATGAAAAGCAGCATATTCTATCAATCGTTTTTATAAGCAGGAGTACCCTAAATGGTATCTGTGTTAGATCAAATGTGTTTACAGTATTAACAGTATGGAGATCACGGTGGCATAGTCTTCTGTGATCACTTCTGTTTAACAAGTTAGATTAAGATTAAGCCTATTAAATGTAATCATGTCTTAAACTAATACTATACAGTAAAATAATACTATACACTGTATTTTTAATTGCATTCCAGTACTTTGCAGTCTGACAGTGTTGTACACAAAGTCTGCACAATGCAAGGACGTAGGCCTACTACCTAAGGAACCTTCCAGGAGGGTAAAGAGAGAGAGAGAGAGAGATTACTTTCTCATATTTTTTGTCTCCTTAGGTTCTGCAGCCTCGCATACAGTCGGGCTCAGGGGCAGACAATCATCTGCGCAATCCTAGGGATCACAAGCCGGTCACATGCTTCCGTAGCCAGGCACGGGTTGCAGCTTATCCCGCTGCAGGAACGCAGTAGAGCGCACAGGAATGACCATCACAGGATAAACCTGTCCGCAGGGCTCCTCTGCAACAGACAGCTTTTTCATTGAACCTACTGAACATTTCTCTTTCTGTTAAGCCCCCAAGTACACCCAAGTAACTCCTGAAAACTTCAACAACCATGTGAGATCACGTATGCACAATTACTCTTTAGTCGCCTTTTCTTTTGTCCCTACCGGCCACTAGAGGGCAGCACGACCGTATATAGCACAGCAAGACACTACAGGTGACTGGCTGTCACAACACAGTTGGTGCAACCAGTCAAGAGTTTTCTCCTCATCAGCTGTTATTAAATACAGGAAAGGAGGGAGAATAAAAGATCTGACCAGCTGGTGGTGTTTCAAGATCATTACTGTTAAAATAGATGATAAGTACATTTATACCACAGGGGAGAAACACTTGCACCAGTTTGCCTTAGGAGATCATCTGTTTTTCAGCAAAGAAACTGTTTTTCAGCCAAGTCTTGAAATCAGAAGCAGCTAACTGGTTTGGCACTTTTGGCACGAGAAATCAAATGAACATCTGGCTCACAGGGGTGATGTAGGGAGGACATTGTTGGTATAAATGTATTGATCACGAGTGTGTGCGTACTTAAGGAAATAATATGAGCTTTAGATGTGGTTTTGTGGCTCTGAGTCAGTAAACGTTTGAGGGTATAAACTCCTGACCCCTGACTGGATGCTCCTCTTCTGAATCTAGACGGAGAGAGGAAGATGGATTGAATGTAAATCAGATGATCAATAAATTGATGGACAGATAATCCATCAGCAACTACTCTCGTTCATTTATTAATGGTTTAATATCAGGGGGTTTTATGCAACATTTTACAAGTTCTGTTGACTTTTTTTTGCTATTTATTGCTTCATCAGACAAAGTAATCAATTAGATTAGGAAAATACACTAATCAATCAATGGTGAAAATAACCATTATTGCAGCCCTAAGATAAATATTTAAATAGTGTCTTCCAATTAATTTCTGATGGGTAACATTGCTGCAGCATCCCCAGTTTGTGTGCTGTCCCTGTTATCAGGGCGTCTAGAGACAGCATGGCAGCTTGTCAACCTGTGCTGACAGTTAACACAGACACTGAGGCGGCTTTTAGTTTGTATGCACCCAGACTCTGGAACAGCCTGCAGAAGGATATGAGGACATTCTCACTCGATGAAGTGCGCTGAATTTGCATTTCTTTGCTTAAAGTGTGACAAATAAACAGAGTGATATGTATTACATATACTAAACGTAGGCTTGTCTCATAAGGGAGATACATGTAATCTTTTCCTGCAATAATAAGGATAAGGATCAGGACAAACTTTATCGTCCCCTAAGGGAAATTTATCTTGGACAACATTGCAACACAACGCTGTAATCTTACTGGTAATCTTATAATTTGGTATAAATCTGCCAAAGAGGTAAGACTTTTTCACATTTTTGCAGTCTCTTTGCATAATGTTGAGGTAGATGAACATATCTGCCTTTTTGTCAAAGTGTCACTTGAAACAAGCTTTTTCATATTTAAAAAATAAACGTATGTCATAATCATGATTACATTTAATGTTTGTGAAAACATGATGACATGAGCAAAACAATTGAGATCATCGGGTTTATTAGAATAAAACCACACAGAGTGAATCTACTGTTGCACATTTTTTGTGAGTAATATTCTTAAAACAAAAACACATGAATACTCAAATCTTCACTTGTTGAATGAAGCAGGAAAGCAGCGGCATGTGACAGTGGATGTTTCATAACCGTTTCTCTGTTGGCATGATGCAGTTATAGTGCCTTTCTTCTCTATTTGTCCTACTTAGAGTGGGAATATCACATTCAAATGACAACCCTGTAAATCAGCTGTGTGTCTATGGCAACCATGGGTATACACTTTTTTCTGAAATACCATTGAATAATTGATTTTCAAACTGTGACACTGCTTGTGTTGTGCTTGTGATTTGCGGAGGAGTGTGGTGAAAAGAGAATTTTACCCTATAGATGTTAAGATGTGTGCTTTACACTTGTACACGGTT